TGGTACAAACAGCTCCACCCTAAAGATAACATCCTTTTAAGGCAATACACATCCTGTTTTCAAGATGATGAGGCTTGCTGTTATTGTATTGACAATATTGTCAATCACAAGTTAGTATGTTTACATAATACATATAGTTGTAATTTTACACTTGTATTTTTATTCAAATGTATGTTTTTCAAAGCATGTATAAAATTGCCTAGATCATGCAATATAGTTATTTTGAACTTGTAAGCAACATATTGCTAGAAATAGAAAGTTGTTCCTTCAGTTTTAGCAACATGTTGCTTGATTGCTGGCCAAGTTGTCACTTATATGAAGGCCTAAAAAGATGGACATCATTATGCAGCATATGGTTGCTTACAACTTGTAGTCAAATTTTTGATGTGGTTGGGCAACATGTTGTATTAAGTAGAGAGACTCTCAACTTCATGTGACATGTTGCAAAACCACATTAAACTTATTGGCAATAAAGTTGCCTAATGGATACTCACCTTAAATATTATTGCCAATAATTATAATTAGGTATTGATCCAGTTAAATCTCAAACATGTATATGCCCATCTACTACTATCATAACTACCTGTATTAGCATCAGTGATTCCTCCACTGTCAGTACAACAAGTCTTACCCCCTCCAGTACCCCTTCCAGTACCACTCCTACCCCCTCCAGTATCCCTTCTAGTACCACTCCTACCCCCTCCAGTACCCCTTCCAGTACCACTCCTACCCCCTCCAGTACCCCTTCCAGTACCACTCCTACCCCCTCCAGTACCCCTTCCAGTACCACTCCTACCCCCTCCAGTACCCCTTCCAGTACCACTCCTACCCCCTCCAGTACCCCTTCCAGTACCACTCTTACCCCCTCCATTACCCCTTCCAGTACGACTCTTACTCCCTCCAGTACCCCTTCCAGTACCACTCTTACCTCCTCCATTACCCCTTCCAGTACCACTCTTACCCCCTCCATTACCCCCTCAAGTACCACTCTCACCCTCTCCGTCAGTACCACAACTCTTACCCCCGCTCCCACCATTATCAATACAGGTACTTTTATTTAATTTTTTTATATTTACAATTTTTTGTGTAGATGAATGTTTGCATGAAAATGGCTATTGTGAACACATATGTACTGATACAGATTATTCTTATAACTGTTCTTGTTTTATGGGATATGAAATAAATAGGACAAGATTTTGCTCAGGTTTAATTATATTATGCAGGCACAGCATATATTGTATTTATAGATATTGATGAGTGCATGAAGAATATATCAAACTGTAATCAACAATGCAGCAACACACTTGGTAGCTACGCATGCTATTGTTACAGTGGGTATGAACTGGATAGTGATGATCACACATGTATTGATATTGATGAGTGTGCTATTGATAATGGAGAATGTGAACAAAATTGTCACAACACAAGTGGTAGCTACTATTGTACTTGTGAAGACGGCTATACAATGGATGACAACAGAAAAAACTGTTCAGGTAAATATTGTATCTAAGTTTGTTATTAACAAAAGTATTTTGCAGACATTAATGAGTGTGATGATAACATATGTGAACATGAGTGCAGTAACACAATACCTTTCTATGACTGCTTTTGCAATAATGGCTACAGATCTTATGATATCAATTTTTGCAAAGGTAAACATTGATTGAAGCATTGCTATGATTAATAATAATAGATATTGATGAGTGCATTGAAGGCATATCAGGCTGCAATCAACTTTGTTCTAATACTCTTGGTAGCTATGAATGTAGCTGTGAGAGAGGGTATCTACTAGAACCTGATAATCATACTTGTACTGATATTGATGAATGTGTCAATAATAATGGAGGATGTGAGCAGTCCTGTATTAATACCAATGGTAGTTATTATTGCACTTGTGATATTGGTTATGTTCTGAATGATGATCGTCATCAATGTGATGGTAAATTAATTTACAATTTACATTAATAAATCTGGTTTCTTTGTAATAGATGTAGATGAATGTTTTTTGGGTATTGATGCATGTAATCATAATTGTGTCAATACTAATGGATCATACTACTGCAATTGCTATACAGGATATCAACCTAGCGCTAATCAAAAATATTGCATTGGTCAGTAAAATAAATGAATTTCATCACTATGTAATATTTTTTATTTATTTGATAGATATCAATGAATGTGTAGAAAACATATCAAAATGTAATCAACTATGTTCTAACACTGAAGGCAGCTACATATGTTTTTGCCAAGCAGGATATAAATTAGACAATGATAATCACACGTGTATTGATATTGATGAGTGTGCTGTTGATAATGGAGAATGTGAACAAACTTGTCACAACACAAATGGTAGCTACTATTGCACTTGCAAAGATGGTTACACAATGGATGACAACAGGAAAAACTGTTCAGGTAAGTTAATTTATTGCATTGACCATTGTTAAATTTATTGTATTGACCATTGTTAAATTATTTTACAGATATTAATGAGTGTAATGACAATATATGTGAACATAGCTGTTTTAACAAAATACCTTTTTATGAATGCTTCTGCAATAACGGTTATAAATCACATGATTTCAATTTTTGTGAAGGTACAAATTTATTATAACTTTTTTGTTATTGTCATTAAAATTAGATATTAATGAATGTACTGAGGGCATTTCAAACTGTGATCAACTTTGTTCCAATACTCTTGGTAGCTATGAATGTAGTTGTGAAAGAGGATATGAACTAGAAACTGATAATCATACTTGTACTGATATTGATGAGTGTGTCATTGATAATGGAGGATGTGAGCAGTCCTGTATAAATACCAATGGCAGTTATTATTGCACTTGTGATTATGGATTTGTATTGAATGATGATCGTCTTTTTTGTGACGGTAAGTTAAAATTTATTCATCAAAATTATATTTTAAATCAATGAAAAGATGTGGATGAATGTGCTCTTGGTAGTCATGCATGTAATCATGACTGTGTCAATACTAATGGATCATACTTTTGCAGTTGCTATGCAGGATACCAGGCTACTAATAACCAAAAATATTGTATAGGTCAGTTAGTATTGAGATCTACACTGATCATTGATGCATTGATTACAGATACTAATGAATGTGCTATTGATAATGGAGGCTGTGATCAGTTGTGTACCAATACTCAAGGAAGCTATTGGTGCTCTTGTAACTCTGGCTATGTTTTGAATGCTACAGATGGTCGCACATGCAATGGTAAGTCATGCATGCATCAAGCAATAAGGTTTTAATGTATCTATAGATATCAATGAATGTACTGATGGTACAGCCTTTTGTGAAGATAAGTGCTTCAACACTGATGGAAGTTATGTATGTGATTGTAAACCTGGTTATCAGTTACAAATGAATAATATTTCATGCTCTGATATTGATGAATGCAATGATAATAATGGTGGCTGTGATCATGAGTGCATCAATCAAGAGGGTTCTTACATATGCATTTGCAATACTGGATTTACAATTGAAGAAGATGGACAGGGGTGTTCAGGTTGTCAATATATTTATATATTTAGTTTTAAATTATTCATTTTATTTGATAGATAACTCAAGAAATTGTATAGGAAATCCAAGAGCTTGTGAACACAATTGTCACAATTATAACAACTCTTTTTATTGTTCTTGTTATTCTGGATACAAACTAAATAGCAACGAATGGACTTGTGATAGTAAATAAATAGAAAATGATGTGTGTGTTCATTGATATAAATAATTATAGATGTTAATGAATGTGAGGAAGGACTTCACAGATGTAATCAAAAGTGTCATGACTTAACTGGTGCATATGAATGTTCGTGTAATGATGGATATCAACTGACAACTGACAACTATACTTGCTACGGTACTGTACCTGTGATATTAATATGAAGCTTATTTATACTTATGACAGATATCAATGAGTGCTTAGACAATAATGGAGGTTGTGAAGATATTTGCAATAATACACTGGGAAGTTATAAATGTATATGTGAAGTACCTGGCTATGCATTAAGCAGCAACAATCATAATTGCTCAGGTAAATTTAATCAAAAGCAATAACAAAACTTTTGTTAACTGTAAATTAGATATTAATGAGTGCAAGAAGGGAATATCAGGTTGTTCACATGATTGTGACAATACAGAAGGAAGTTACTTATGCAGTTGTCCAACAGGATATCTACTAGAACCTGATAATCATACTTGTACTGATATTAATGAATGTATCATTAATAATGGAGGATGTGAAGAAACATGTAATAACACTAATGGCAGTTACAGTTGTTCCTGTCAGACTGGCTATACAGTTGATGAAAGTGGTCATAATTGTACAGGTTTGATTTGATTGATACTTTCAATGCAGTATCTGTCACTGATTTTTATAGATATCAATGAATGTAGTTCAAATAATGGAGACTGCGATCAAATTTGTACTAATCTTGAAGGAACTCATAACTGTTCTTGTATGTCTGGTTATATCATGGCAGCTAATGGAACATCATGCATTGGTACAGTAAATAAAGATTAGGCATTAACATGCTCTTTTAATAGATATTAATGAGTGTGATGATAATAATGGAGGCTGTTCTCAAATATGCTCAAACACTGATGGGAGCTTTGAGTGTGATTGCAATGATGGGTATGACTTTATCAAAAATAGTACCACTGATTGTACAGGTTCATTTAAGAATTTCAATAATTATTATTTCAGTTGTCATTGTAATCAGATATTGATGAGTGCCTTGTTAATAATGGTGGCTGTCAAAAGATATGTACTAATACAAATGGAAGTTTCAATTGTTCTTGTCCATCAGGCTACAGTGGCAATGTTTTTTGTTCAGGTAAGTCATTAGCTATCAATTTACAACATATATGTAATACACATCTCACTTTAGACATAGATGAATGTCAATTGAGAATTTCAGGATGTGATCAGTCTTGTATTAATACTGTTGGTAGTTACTACTGTGAATGTGAATCAGGATACACTTTGAGCAATGACAGTCATTCCTGTTTTGGTTAGTAAATTAAATAGAATAATTTGAGTTATGTCAATCACAGATAACGACGAATGTGTAATGAGAAGTTCTAATAATTGTGATCAAGTCTGTATCAATTATCCTGGATCATATAATTGTTCATGTATTACTGGGTATTCTCTTAAATCAAATGGAATTTCTTGCAAAGGTATTAAATCAAAATTAGAAATTAAAACAATTGAGATGTTTAGAAATTAACGAGTGCCTGGAACAAATATCAGGCTGTTCTCATGATTGTGAAAATACTGAAGGAAGTTACTTGTGCAGTTGTCCAACTGGATATCTACTAGAATCTGATAATCATATTTGCACTGATATTAATGAATGTATCATTGATAATGGAGGATGTGAAGAAACATGTGATAATACTAATGGCAGTTACACTTGTTCCTGTGAGACTGGCTATACAGTTGATGAAAGTGGTCATAATTGTACAGGTTTGATTTGATTGATGCTTCAATGCAATGCATACATTTTTACAGATATAGATGAATGTAGTTCAAATAATGGAGACTGTGAACAGATTTGTACTAATCTTGAAGGAACTCATAACTGTTCTTGTAGCTCTGGTTATTTAATGGCAGCTGATGGAATGTCATGCATTGGTACATTAAATAAAGATTAGGCATTAACATACTCTTTTAATAGATATTAATGAGTGTGATGATAATAATGGAGGCTGTTCTCAAATATGCTCAAACACTGATGGAAGCTTTGACTGTGAATGCTATAATGGATATGACTTTATTGATAATAGTACCACAGATTGTAAAGGTTTATTCAATTGATTCAATAATAATTGTTTTAGTAATCACAATTAGATATTGATGAATGCCTTGTTAATAATGGTGGCTGTCAAGAAATATGTACCAATACAATTGGAAGTTTTAATTGTTCTTGTCCATCAGGCTACAATGGCAGTGTTTTTTGTATAGGTAAGTCATTTCTATCAAAAATTTACTGCATAATACATATGTCACTTTAGATATAAATGAATGTCAATTGGGAATTTCAGGATGTGATCGGGCTTGTATTAATACTGTTGGTAGCTACTACTGTGAATGTGAATCAGGATACACTTTGAGCAATGACAGTCATTCCTGTATAGGTTAGTATACAGTTATGTGAAACTTGAG